AAAATTGCTCTTAATTATTTAACAACCCGCCCATGTAAATAGAAACCAAATTTAACTGGCCACATAGGAAGAAACTAAATTTAATAACCTGATGGAAAAAGATTAATATCAAAAGTCTATTAAATTTAGCCCCTAAACTATAAGAAGTCCCAAAATTTGTAACTATACAAATAAGTGAATGAATTACAATGAAGATGAGCAATTTCAGAATCGTCTTAAATCATTATTTAAAACAAGTTTTGTTCTTTTCCGAATAAAAAATTAGGTTCTTTTTTAATAAGACACGTTACATAGTCTTAGTTTTTTGTTTTCTATTTTTTTAAAACATTATAGTCATACTCAACAACCCGATCGTGTAAATAGAAACGAAATTAAAAAATCTAACCATTTAATAAATACCTAAATACTTAGTCCATTACGTAAGGTATAAAACTTTAATTGAAGAGAGACAGTAAATGAGACAACAATTTGAACTCTTATATGTGTATATATATATAACGTATATGTGAGTGTATATACGATATATGAATGTATAAGCACACCTGTAGCAATAGGTAATAATACGAAACAAATAAATAAAATAAGTAGTTAGGCACATATATAACTCTGCAACCACAGAATTTGAGAAGAAATCCAAACCACGAATGAGCCACAATTGATGTGATAAATCCTCACTCTCTTGCAAACATTTTCAGAAAAGGATTCCAAAGGCGGTGACTCCGAAGTGAAATGTGCAACAACAAAAAAAAACATGTAATGAAATATATAAATATAATTATAATATAACATACAAAATTATATAAATTACAAAAAGGAAATTTTTTTGACTTACCATCTTGAAAACCTTAATAGCATGGGCCTTAAGCTTAGCATTATTCTGTGGTACTTCATCTGAGTCTCTCAGAAATGAGAACATGTCCTTGACCGCCGGTGCAATATCAAGTATGCTAGGAATCATCAACAAGAAAAAGAATAATACATTACTAAATTACAGGATTTCTCATACCAATATTATATATATATATATATATATAATATTTCTAGCTCTCTCTCTTCACATATATAGTTCTAATACTTACTTTGTGAAGAAACAAACGCTTAAATCAGCAACGTTGGGCTTCATCGCCTCCCATGATTCTTTAACCAAGCTTTCTTCCTTCTCTCCAAAACCCATATTGGATCTAATCTGATATCTGTTTCAGATGGGTGATATTTATTTGCTTATAGTTTTATTATGACTTTGGATTCTGAGCAACTTGTCAGAGAAAGACAAGCCACTGACGACTATAAATATATCGTGTATATATATGCATCTCGCCAAGTGTAGGGAGCAATTTGGACGTGGCATACCCATCTCGACCGTACAAATCACAACGTGACTGACGCAATATCACCCTAAATCTTATCATTTGCAGATATTTGTTTAATTGGCTGCTGATTCAGACAAGCTGCAGCATGTGTAATTTTGAGGCATCCTACTCATTCATTCTATATATATATATTTGAGATTCTCTTAGGGACTGTCTAGTTCGCTGATTCGAGTTAAGATATAACTTTATGTGAGAGTTTTTTATTGTAATAAAAAAGTTAGATGTGACTGTTTTTGAGAACTTTTTACTGTAACAAAACTCGAATCGGTGAAATGAACGAGAGCTTAATTTTCATTCCGCTCATTCGAATTGAGAATTTGAGTTAAAAAATAAATTCATATAAGAGAATATTGTAACAAAAAAATTGAATTTAAATTTTTATAAAAAAAAACTTTATAACAAAAACTTAATTATTATAATGTAAACTAACGAAATGAATAAGACTTAAAGCTATAGAACACTGGTAGTATTGAACATTATGGTCATGTTCATTTCACCGGTTTGAGTTTAGAATTTGAGTTTTGCTATAGTAAAAAGCTATCAGAACTAGTCACATCTAACTTTTTTGCTACAGTAAAAAGCTCTCATATAAAGCCACATCTCAATTTAAATTAAAAACTCGAATCAAATTCACATAAATACCCATATTTTATTAGTTGTATTGTTTACACTAATAGTACACCTCAAATATTTTCCGTTGTATGGTAAATATGTACATACACTTTTTTTTGTCCTTTATTATACATAAATTGACATAGGAACTAAATAGGAATTCGAATTAGACTGACACCCCTTAAAATTAAACTTAACTTGCATTAAACTCCCTCCTTTAAATTTTTAGAATGAAAAATAACATAATTGAATGCAGCTAACTGAAAACCCAAACAACCCATACTACTAGAACCCTTGGATGCGAAACAAGCTAGAAACTGATTATATAAGGAGAAGCCCTAACATTGATTAACAAACCTCATTAAAAGCTTTGCTTTGTAAAAGCAAAAACAAAAAAAAAAACAAAACAAAAAAAAAACAAAAAAAAAAACAAAAAAAAACAAAAAAAAAAACATTTTGACATTCTATCTTTTCCTTATTGAATTGCATATTGTTTTTAGTCTTTTATATGAACCAACTTGAAATTCAACTTGTGATAGTAGTATTTTATTTGATCAATATGCATAAATGTTGCACCACACACCAATTTTGCACATATAGTAAATTTATCTCTGATTGTCGTTGATAATAAATTGTCTTGTGTCTATTTTTATCTCTTAGTTATTCTTTGATAATTCTGTCAAGGGGATCCGTATTTTCCCAACAAGTGGTATCAAAACCAAGTTCGAAGAGAAAAGACAGATTTATCTAGGTGGAGTATTGTGAATAATTGTAGTGTGATTATTGTTGCATAGTAAAATCACTGTTCAAAAATTATTATGGTTACTGTTCACGAATAGTAAACACTAATTATGCCGACACTTTCTGTATACGGTGACACTGTTCACGTATACTATTCATATGCTTGTAGATAACACTGTAGCAACGTACGTTACTGTAGCAGGGTAGATCGACACTGTAGCAGCGGTACTGTAGCAATTGAAGAAAAAAATGACAGGAGTCAAATTCGACATCGAGAAATTTGACGAAAGAATTAATTTTGGATTATGGCAGGTACAAGTTAAAGATATATTAATTCAACATGGGTTACACAAGGCATTAAAGAGAAAACCAATCCCTGTTTTCAGTACAAATTCTAGTAAGTCCAACAAGAGCAATGTAGATTGGGAAGACTATACTGGTAGACTGGTAGCTAAGGGATACACATAAAAGGAGGGAATCGACTACGAGAAAACCTTTTCGCCTATAGCCGTAGTTAAATCCATCTTCATTCTCTTATCCATTACGGCTGGTCTCGACTATGAGATCTGGCAAATGGATGTCAAGACATCATTCTTGAATGGCCATCTATATGGTATAACTAGAAGGCTTTAGGGCTAAGGCTCAAGAAGGGAAAGTTTGCAAGTTGTTAAAATCTATTTATGGATTAAAGCAAGCTTCCCGTTCTTAGAACAAAAGATTTGACCAAGTGGTCAAGACTTTTAGATTCCAACAGAATATGGATGAACCTTGCGTTTATAAGCATATTCAAGATGAGAAAGTTGTTTTTCTACTATTATATGTTGATGGCATTTTACTCATTGGCAATGATATAAGGGCTTTGTCATCAGTCAAAGTTTGGCTTAACAAATAGATTGACATGAAGGATTTAGAAGAAGCTAATTATGTTCTGAGCATTCGGATCTTAAGAGATCGAAAGAACAAAATGATAGCTCTCTCTCAGGCTTCATACATAGATAAAATTCTCGAGAAGTATGCAATGCAAAATTTAAAGAAAGGTGGGCAACCATTTACATCTGGAATTACTCTTTCAAACAGTGATTGTCCCAAGACATCTTAGGAAAGAGAATACATGTCAAAGGTACCTTATGCTTTGGCAGTTGGGAGCCTCATGTATGCAATGTTTTGCACTCGACCGGACATTTGCCATGCGGTCGGGATTGTAAGTCGATATCAGTCGAATCCAGGACCTAACCACTGGGTAGCGGTCAAGCATATATTCAAGTATCTTTGGAGCACTAGAAATTATATGCTGGTATATTCCGAGGAGGATTTGACACCTCTAGGATATACAAATTCGGATTTTCAATCCTGTTTAGATTCTAGAAAATCAACTTCGGGTTCTATCTTTACTTTGGGAGGTGGTTCTGTCATTTGGAGGAGTGTCAAGCAAACTTGTACTTCTAACTCAACGATGGAAGCCGAGTGTGTGACAGCTAGTGATGCTTCAAAAGAAGCAGTGTGGCTCAGTAAATTTCTAATGGATCTTAAAGTAGTTCCTGGTGTGGATAAGACATTGAGACTGTACTGTGATAACAGTGCGGCAATAGCTAATACCAAAGAACCAAGATATCAGAAAATGAGTAAGCACATAGACAGGAAGTATCATGTGCTAAGGAGCTTTATTGAAGGACATGTGAAAATATGCATGATTGCGTTGGAGGACAATATGGCTGACCCGTTCACGAAGGCCTTGCTGGCTAAGGCCTTCGAGAAGCATGTCGAGGCTATGGGGATGCGTAGCATGTCACATTTACTCACTTAAGTGCAAGTGGAAGATTGTTAGCGTTTATGCCCTTAAGAATAAATGTAATGATGTTCTTTGAGACATTTTGACTATTAATAAAGAGTGAGTAGGTCATATAGCTATGTATTGTCATTTTTATGTTCATATTAGTTGAATGTATGATAAGCAAACTGAAACTCTGAAACTGTCATTCTAAATCTTTAGGTCATGCATGTAATGTGAAGAACATGCAGAAAACAAGAATCTAAAGATAATAGTCTAAATCATATGATCCACAATCGAGGGAATAAAGTTGGGCACTTTATTCATGTTAAGATTGTTATGTTGTCTACTTTCTAACGGAGACGGCTTGTCTTGATCGTCGGAGGGGGGGCTCCATGGGGAAAGACATTGATATAGTTTCTAATGGTGAAATCTATATTGGATCGGGCCAAAGTTGAATTGTTTTAATTAATAATTCCGTTTGAATAAAATAATTCACTCTTGACAAATTATATGTTGTCATCTTAATTCTAAGATGGATAATGAACTCGTATGCTTGACTTGTATCCTTTGATGTACCAAAGGGAGACATCGTAACATTATGTAAAGGTACGCTTACCGGTACATTGGGGGTATGACTCGCGTATGCGTAGATTCGTTATTCATAGATAGTGGAATCCATAGCTCCTTTAAAGAGTCAATGATATTCTCTTATGCATTATTAGTGGATTGGAAAATATGAGCGCTCGGTCATTAGACTACTCTGTGTTATCTAATGGTTTACTATTTATAATGGTATGAATAATGGTTTTTCGATGGTGTAGTAATGGAACATAAGATAAATGTAATCGGGAAGGTAAAACGGAACTTGACATCAAGTCGATTATAGATATCCTATGGGGATGATACACTAATATATTGAGTCATGGACGAGAGCTATTCAGAGCTTTGTAAATATACTATATAAATCGAGAGTACAGCTCTAGGCTTTTAGTGGAGTAGTGTTAGAATTTTATAATCATGAGACAGACTTGTTGGTTTACAAGTAGCGTTGTGATGATAGGAGCTTGATTTATATATGTCTATCGGGTCCCTTTGCTAGCTCACATAATTTTATGTTATGATACAGTGTAATTCCTACATATTGGTAACTTATGTTATTTCCGTAAAAGATGTTTAAAGTAATATGAGATTAGTTAATTAATTCATGAGTGATTTATCAGGTGAATTAATTGATATATTAATTCTAGATAAATTGGTTGAATTATTATTTTAAGAGTAATTTAATATGGAAAGACTATTATATGACTATTTTGATCAGGCAACTTCTCTATTGGGTTTCTTGAATCAAAATTGAGGCTCTGTGTAAGTTTCCTGTGTTGAAAAACTTGGAAAATAAGTTTCGATAGTTCAGACAGGTCGACCGGTTCATGAAGGACAGATTGACCGGTGAGTTATAACGTCTCTGTCACCGGTTGTAACGCATAGCGCGTGCTGACGTGGCGAAACTGACTCTATAAATGAGATAAACTTTGAAAACCTAATTGTTATAGAAATATGACATTCTAAACACTATAAATAGCTCATTAAGTCACATTATTCATTAGATCACTTGAGAGACCTTTTGGGGGCTATTGACAAAAGAATCCTGAGAGGAAAAATTGTTTAATTCTCAAGAACGATTTTTCCATTGGCTCTCTTATGGTTGGAAGGAGTTCAAGAATACCAAGGGGAGATTGAACGACGCGTGTCCACCCGCACTCCGATA